ATTTTATTCATTTAATATTTTATAATGGTCATATCCTGATGCTTTTTTTCCTCCTTGGTCGATAGTGTTCTAGAGGATCTGTAATGTATTTCAATACTAAACAAAATGTAAAGACATCTGTACATTGTAAAAAGAAAAGAAAATAATTGTAAAATTTATGATAAAAAAATTGTAATGGATGTTACAGACTGTAACATCCAAAGCATCATATTACTGTATGATCACTGCTCTTGCTCATTATGGTCCTTTTCTTTGCTTTTATTGCCTTGTTTTTGAAATGATGCTTTACACAATTTATTTATTTAGTCTAATGCAAATATGAAACCTGTTCAATCTAAAGCAAACAGCCAAATTAGTGACAGTATCATTCACAGCTAACCCTGAACAAAAGGAGGAAAATAAAACGGCACTGGCAATAATACTGAACTCATTTCATCCATCTTCATCTAAAACCTTGTTTCTTTCTTCTTAGAAGGATTTGTGTACCCCATTCTACAAATAATTAAGATATATCTGCCCTTCTTTTGAGACTATAATATGCATAATCCTCTTGACTTTTGTCTGGGTCTCTATATTATTTTAATTCTGAGACTGAGATCTCTGGATTTCTGGATTTTAATTTAGTCATTGAAGATTTGATCTGTGACACGAGTGACGCTTTAATCCGCAGGATTAATCTCCGAGTCCGTTTTAAGAAAACGCTGCTGTGGATGAAGGAAGGAGATCATGCTCACAGATTAACAAATATGTATTTTTTGCAGTCTCACAGGGTAAAATTCCTGTGCACTTCCAGTGTCCACTCCTTCTGAAATCTGGAACATAGAGTAGTTGAACAGTTTGTATTATATTTTTTTTGCAGCCAATACAAAGAAATATTTCACAAATCACTTAGCAAGTTTTCTCCTCTCAAAGGGGTTGTTTTATGTAAAAATCGACTTTTTTCTGAGCTTTATATTATGTTATGATGTTATTTCTTTATTAAAATCATAGCTGGACTGTTGTTTTGATTCTTCCATGCATGATTGAGAAATCCTCTAATCTCCCATGGGAACCGATCAGCTTCGCAAAACACCTGGGTTTATTCTCAAATGACTTCATACAAATTTATTTTCATAATATTCTAACATCTGCGATGGACTGGCAGCCTGTACAGGGTGTAACCCCGCCTCTCGAAAATGGATGGATAGATGGATATTCTAACTTTATCCTCGTAATTTTATTTCTTATGTTTCCTTAGCGTGGCCCTAATACTCCGTCATAGACGATGCACTTATTTACCTTTCAAAAAAAGTAAAATAATTGAGCTGACAGCCATTTTCACATTTTATTTACCTTTTATTTAAATGTTTTCGGAAATAATGGGCACTTCGAGAAGGCAAAACCCAGGTTTCCAGTGATTTCAACACATGAAGCAAAAGCACTTTGAGGAGTGGACACCAGCTACATGCAGTACTTTTACACAGGATGACACAAAGCTCAAGAAGAACATGGTTAGAAAACATCTGATAGGAGGAAACTACTAGCAAAACTTCACTTACAATAATCCAATACAAGGTGTGGAAGCCACATCGTACACCCTGGAACGAAGCAAAGGGCACGTACAAAAATGTACATCAGAAATGGGAAATACTTCAATCATGTAAAAGGTATTTTATATGAAATAAGACATTTGCTTTCAAATGATAAATGTGAAAAAATTGAATACATTAATGTAATAAAAACAAGATTCCAATCATATTACCTTGCTAACATATCCATTTAATAAAAAAAGACAGGAGAAAGAGGGAAACCGAACACAGATGCAATCACCTCAAAGGTTTAACGATTTCTGACGAAAGGCAGCTTATTTTTAATCAATGTTATCTGTAACTTTATAGGGAGATTTATTATATTCCTGCCTGTTTTGCAGTGGTTTAGAGTTAGAATACTAATTGAGGAAAAAGCTACTAAACCATGGATCTGTGCCCGGAACAAACCAAGTGTTGGCCACAGGTTTAAGCAAAGGTTGTCACATGTTCTTACAAGAACAAATGAAAAAACCTGCAGGCCTAAGTTAGTATTTCACCGCATCTATATGAAGGTATATTTGGCACAAAAGTATTTGTCTTTTGCAACTGTGAAGTTGAAGTTCTGTATCTTTTATTTGTAACTGGGACCAAATTTTAAATGTAAACTTTTTTAAAAGCATCACTCAAAGAATACAATTTGTACTTATACTTAATGATGTAAAGGCTGTTGTGTATTTTCCTGACACATAGTGCCGTTTTATAGCACAATCAAGAATCTTCAGTTGTTGTAAATTGCTGCATATTTATCAAATATGACGTCAAAGATAATAGACTTCGTAATTTAAAACTGGGATTCTGTCTCTTTAAGACAGTCCTGCTCTGACACTCAGCCCTTAGGAAGTCATCGCAACAAGGCTAATTTATTAACCCTTTAATAATATTTTTAACGGTGATGCACTGAGAAGTAATTCTTATGAGGTCAGTAGAGGCGGAGCTCCACCTGATGTTTGCTAATTGCTGCTGGCTAGTCTGAAGGAGCTGAGTGGGGGAGATATCTGTGAGGCCGAAGTTTAGAAACTGCAGGTCAGAGGAGGAGATTTTACATAATGCTGCCTTTTTGAAAGAGATGTTTTCTAATTGTGAAAGACTGAAAAAACATACAATTACAAAACTCCTCCAGGATTTTTCTCTCTAACTTTAATTTCACAGCTACAAGGAACAAATACTTCCGAACCAAATATACAATTTAACGTCTCATGCAAACAGACTTAAAAAAAGGGTGTGTTTTTATGAAGTTGAATTTATTTCATCTGTGCAGGCTCCAGATTGATTTCCCATAACCTAAACTTTGTAACTTCAACAAATGAATTGATTTCACCAACTTTTAACTACAGAAGTTTGTAATTAAATAAAAGTCAGGCTAACATCAACCAGCTCCATGTTTCACATCATCACCTAAATAATTTTTTAATAGAAGAAAAACATTTTATCTATCCCAACCCCTTGCTTAGAGTAGACCAGAAAAGTTTTCTATGATGCAACTAGAATTTACTTTATCAAATACAGTTGAAACTAAATATTTACATCCAAAGTAAAAAGAAAAAACTAATTTTTTCTCACTGAAGCTGAATCAGACCATACCTTTTTATTTTTGGATAGTTGAGGCTCTGGTACTCTGGCCTACTTTGTGTATCCTGTGAACCACATGGGTTCTGCACACACTGCGGACGGTTGAGATTTCATAGTCAAGCTTACCGACCGCTTATATTCTTCCTGCCAAATTCCTTCAAGTCCCACAATCCGAATGGATACTAGTAAGTTTGATGATCTAGTTGGGCACTGAGCCCCGTTTCTCCTCCACCAGGGCAGCCAAAGCACGCTGTAATGACAATCTAGCTGCTTGGTGTCCTGGTCGCTCTCTCAACCTCATCAGTTCAGGGTTCTATACAAAACGATTAAATGTGAAAACGCTTTACTGAGATTTGCTGTGCTACACCGGACATGTCCGGCACACATCCGCTTTGAGTCGGCATTCAGTCTGCCTTGAGAATGCCTGGTTGATGTTTCCCTACTGTAAGTATGTGGGGAGTCTTTAGAATTACCAAAATGATATTTATCTGCTAAATGCCTAAACTTTATGAGGATATTTTTTGAGAGATTTTTGCAACTTAGAAGTTTACATATGTTAGCTCAGTATCATTGATATTTGTCTTTTAAGCTTCATGACTTGGGTCAAACCTTTTGGGTTTCCCACAGGAACACTTGTGGATGTATTTTAAGACCACACCTGAATCACACGGCTTTCACCTTTGATCCGATAGGAAAGTAAAAAGAAATCAGCCAAGATGTCAAGAAGAAAACTGTGCAGCTGCACCGGTCTGGTTCATCCTTGGGAACAATTTCTAGACGCTTGAAGGTGTTCATCTGTTCAGACAATTACATGTAAGTGTAGACATGATGGGAATGTCCAGCCATCATACAGATCAGGAAGGAGGCGGGTTCTGTGTCCCAGAGATGAACGTCTTTTGGTCCAAAATGTGCAGATTGATCCCAAAAGAAAAGCCAAAGACCTGATGTAAGGACAACAAAGACAGTGTTTTGGTGCGGCCGTCACAAAGACCCAATCTCAGTCCTGCGGAGAATTTGTGAGACGGCTTACAAACCTGGAAGAGTTATGCTTTTTCTATCAGGCATAATGAACCAGAACTCTTTCAAATTACTGGGGAAGGAGTCCTAAAAGGTTTGGCCCAATTCATACAGATTCCAGACAAATTTCTTTGATTTTGATCAGATATAACTAAACTTCTAAATTAAAAAAAAGTTACAAAACAATATTTGAAAAATGTTATTGCTGAGCTTTCTGGCATTTAGCAAATACAAATACTTTTTGTAATTCTAACCGACCTAAAACAAGAGAGGTTTGGTCCAATTTAGCTGTAAACAGTGAAAAACAATGTGTGTTTTTTTATTTGCTGTATGTAAATTTGATTGGGAAATTTCAAGAAATTTGGCTGAAAAGAACTTTAAGTACAGATATATTCAAGTTTGGTTCTTAAAAAGTCAAGATCACAATATACGTTTTTGGCTGTACGACAATGTCACAAAAATTTACATAAATGTCAAAGAAAAGCACAGTAAAAGGAAGGAGACGAGTTCTGGGTCCCAGAGATTCTTTTTTTAAACTTGGTATCGCTAATTTTGTTGACGTTTTTCTAAATCCTGCTAAGGGGACAGATGTCTGATAAACATAAATGAGAACAGCAAGAGAACAGTTTTCTCTCACCTCTGGGTGTTTTTGTCAATTTCATCTCAGAGCCGAATACTGTCAAATATTTTTCCGGATTATTCACACTCATCAGTAGTTGGACAAGTAATCCAACCACAACCCTTAATAATGTTTCGATATTTGTTGCTTTCAAAGTTAGGAAGGATCTGAATGTGTGTGTGAGACCTATGGTAAGGTCTACCATCTAAGTTACTCGTTTCTTTTGCGTGTGCGTGTCCTCTGCAGTTACTTTAACCAATATAACATTTTCTGGAGTGAAGTAACTGTTGTTTACAAGCTGTTGCACTTAGTCCTGATGGTTTCTATGGTTTGGGGGCCTCATCTGAGAAGGCAAATGTTCACATCAAATGAAACAAATATAGCAGAGATTCGGGTCTGAGAGTCAATCAGATAAGTTACCAGTGAAAGCGACGAGTCTTTACGACCTCTAAATCAACCTTTTTAGCACTCTGTCATGCTTTCCATTACTGATAATAGGTGCCATGATAACTGCCGAGCCATTTACTTCAGGGATGAATATCAATTATCAGTTGTTTTTTTTTTTTTTTTTAAGACACCAATCACTTGTTTGTGGATTGCTAGTTAGGGTTTTTCAAGTTTCAGTAGCAAAAACAGGTGAAAAGGACTTCATATTTCATCAGCTGGTTTGTGTTTCAGAGACCAATGAAAAGTTGGCCAGCATTGTGAGAGATGATGCACTGTTTATATTTTGATAACAGTTTTTGATCACCACAAAGCGTTCTCATTTTGTAATAACTTTTACAGAAATGTTTATTAATTGACCATGTAACAAAAAAAAAAAAAAAAAAAAAAAAAAAGCAGACTGACTGGATAATCTGTTCTGAACTCAAGAAAAGACAACTTGGGGTTATTGGAATGTTCCATACCATTTTGACATTCTGGTAGCAACCGGATCTTTGATCTAGTTATCATTATCATCTTCATCGCTGTCCCTCATTGTAATGCCTTGCATCCCTCCTTCCCTCACCGAAGCGGTAGCTTCTTCTAAGGTCAGTCGATTTCTTACGGTCTCATACATCTTACAGTTCAATGTTGAGTCCAGAACTCCCTGGAGACGGAAATCACGGTACTTTTTCTGTCACAAAGAACAGACAGTAAAGACAGAGGAAATTAATTTTTTAAAACTTTTCCTTTGTCACAAATAGGACATTCTTACTTTGAGTAAAAAAAAAAAAGATTTAGTTCTACAAAAAAAAAAATGCTAGTGATTAATGTCGACAGGCTGCTGCACAATCAAAGAGCTGAGTTGTGTGGGGGTGAAATTTGGGAAGTTTCTATCAGCAGTCGGATGCAGGAGACATTTGGTGTGTTATGTAGGCCCATAATTGTAGAACGGCTTAAAGTGTTGTTTTTATTATGGGGTTGTACGATAAGTTAGGCTTAACTTTAGAAAAAAACGTGAATATTAATTTATACTTTTATTTCTGTTTCATACCTGAATATTCTCATGAATATTCACATAATCATGAGATTAGTTTACAAAATTGGCATGTATTCAGACATCGGTGCACTGCTCTCACTTTGACAATCCTGATGAGTATCTTCAGTTGGTAGACATGCAGCTGCAGATCCATACGGTCAGTCAGCCATGTTCCAATAAGATTCATACTGCTGGTGTACCATTGCTGGAGCAAAGACACAGAAAAACAGAGTGCAGAATGGAATCTTCACATGATGTAGGCAACAAGATACAAAACGTGACGGGCAAAGGAGTATTGATGTATCTGTAAGTCTGACATGATTAAACACAAACACTGAAGATGGTTCTAAGGTCTGCTCCATCTGTTCATTATTATTAACTACTGTAAGTAAGCGATTGGTTTAATATTGTAGGGTTAAACATTCTTGAAATTTAATGAATATTTAGCAATGTCAAGCAGAGACAAAGTCCTTACATTTTAGTAGAGTAAAAGTGAGGATGGTGAAATGCCTCAACAACACCCTGGTGCCAACATGGTGGCATTAATCCAGTCCCAAACACGTAATCATAAAACTCATTGGTGGGCCTTGCAAATTAGACTTGCTGCATCCTCAAAAATATAAATTTTGATCATCAATCCAGATCCCTTCTTTGACTCAGTTAAGATTTTTGGCAATCAAATGCCAAACACAAATCCTGTGTAGACTTAGAATGTCAACAAGTTATGAGCAACATTTAAATTTGCTTGGTTTGCTGGAAAAGAAACCTGTGGAGTGCGAAGATGAAATAACATTTTTGAAGTCTGAAGGAAAAAGCTAAATTTATGACAACAGGTCTTTATGAGGGGTTTGTTCACAAACCACTTCCAAACCAAACTACTTTCAGCTCAATATGTCATGAGCTTAAATACACAAGTCATATTGAAACAGAGAGTAAACATGATAATGTTTTTTGTTACTTATAAGAATTACTGTCATTTTCATCTTTAAAGTATCAAATTTCCACTAAATTTATATTTTAGTCCAATTTATTGGATAATTTTTAAATATTAAATGTCTGATCATTTGATCAGTTACTCAGTACCTGCGTCGCCTTTTCACCAAATACTTTTTTACTCCTACTTGAGTCATTTCTTGGACAGTTACTTTTCCCTTTTACTTGAGTAAATTTCTGTTGAAGAAGTGATACTCTTACTTGTGTACAATTTTTGGGAACTCTGCCCACCTCTGAAAGTAGGATACTGCAGTGTTAAAACAGTCATGGTTTAAACAATGTCTAGAATAAATGTACCGTGTTATTTTCCTGCTCTATAAAAGCCATCGAGTTTTCAAACATAAAAATGTCATTGATTTTAAAGACATGCTGTGCTGGGGACTCAGTATCAGGAAAATAAAACCTAAGTGGGACAACTCTTCTGGCAAGTCATGTGTCAAAGACTTTGTCCTAATAAAGAGACAGTGGAGCACTGAGTGAGTACTGCTATACATGCCAAAAAAATAAGAGAAAAACAAATGGCTAAAGTTGAAGCGATGCGGTAGTACAGTCCCTCATAGTTGGTCTTCACAAGACTTCACAGGTCTTCAGGATTCCATGCCAGAAACATTTTTATTCACACACAAGCCATAGCTAGAATCTTACTGTATACCTGCAAATGAACTGGTGATGCCTACACGGAGGTCAGGCTTGCTTAAAGGACCATAAGAGAGAACTGCTATGATGAAGCAGTGCTGGGGTGAATCAGTGAAGTGACCTGGTGCCAGCAGCCTCCTATCTGTCACTGTGTGCCTGTGAAGGCTTCAGCGTGGCAGCAGGCCTGTGATCGCGCCCGGAGCACAACCCCCTGCTGAGAGGCCAGGCCTGGAGTGACTGATCCACTGACTGGCTGCTCTCCCTCCTCCCGTTACCCACTCCTCCTTCCCTGCTTTTTCTGTAGATTTTTGCACCTTGCCACGCAGCTCCCATCTGCAGCCATTTTGTGCTCGTGGTTTTCAGCGTTTTGTATTTTACATGGAAGCGGGCCTCTTTTTTCCCAAACAATCTCAAGAAAATGTTACATTACATTTAATGCGTCGCTTTTCAATCGGTTCTATCTGCAGTCTGCAGAATGGAAGATGTCTTAGACATTGGCCATAGATGTACATTGTTTTTTTTTTCCTTTTCTATGAGTAGCTTCTCTTAGAATGAAAGTATAGAAAATCTAATTAATCAGTGCAGTAATCACATCTCAAATGAGTGGGTTTCAGAAGAAATATTTCACATTTGTAGAATTATGTCGTTTTCACACACAAACACACATACGTAAGTATCTCTTAGATCTTTCACTGACGGATGTACCGTCCCTTTTAAGTGTATCAACATTTTTCTTGCATTTGATATAATTTAACATTTTGGTATTGGAGTAAGTTCAATAAATTTGTCTCCATAACCAAAACTGCCAACACAGAGAGAAAAAACTGACACAGAAACACATGAATGATTCTTTCAGAGATGAATTTGATTTCTAGATTAATTTGCTATGATGTCATACCTTCATTTATGATTTTGTCACAGTTTAGCTGGTTCGTGCAACAGTAATAGTTTGATGGATTTAAGGATTGGCCCAGGTTGTTTTACATTTCACACTAAAGATTATTTGATATTTTTTTATATATAAAATTGTTTGTTTTACGTGATAATCTAAAGCCAACTTTCTTCACATGTGGAAGCTAGACTTTCCTAACTTAGCCTTAATAGACAGTCAAGCTACCCGCAACTACATACATTTGTATACATGTACATACAATAAATAAAAATAATATGAACAATAGGATGACATTAAGAAATAAAGATATTAACATGGGGGCAGAGAAATTATCTGATGTATTAAATAGGCCTCATGAAGATCAGCAGGGGGCTAGCACTTCCTGTCAGCCAAAACAAGCGTAATATGGCTCTGAATAAATAATGCCATAACCCGACAGGGATCAAATCTGTGACATTCTAACAAGCTCCATCTGAGGGAAGCTTCCATGCGTCTTCAGCCGCGTTCTCTGTGTGTGCATTTGTGTGTTTTGACACTTCACAACATTGTGATGAAACCCTACCTATACACAGGCGAGATACATGCCGTTGCAACACACACACGCATGCACACACACACATGGAGTATGTCTTTCTATTTTCACAAGGACTTTGCAATGACATCCATTCATTTCTATAGCCTAACCCTAAACCCAACCTAAGTTCAATTCACACCTTAGTCCTAAACATAACCCCTAACCCAAAAACAGCACTTCTTTTTTATGACGACTCCGTAAGGAGCAGTTGGTCCTCACAATGTACTATTAGCATCATAAATGGGCCTTACAAGGTGAGAAATGACAGAGCACGCACACACACACACACACACACACACACACACACACACACACACACACACTGTCACATAGACAAATTTACATCTGCTAGTCCATCCCCCTTAGAGTGAGAGCTGGGAGAACGACCTCCTGCCCCCATCTGACACCAGCTCATAGCTCCTTACTGAAACCCCAAGATGCAGCCACACACCGAAACCTCACTTGTTTTCACACCCAAATCTTCACACAGCACTTTAGTCTTGACGAAGGGGGGTAGTGAGCATGATGCAAAAAAAAAAAAAAAAAAAAAGATACACCTCTCCATCTTCCTCCTCACATCCCTCTAACTCTCTTTTTGATGGTCTGATGTCAGTCCTAACAGGAAGTCTGCAGATTATTAGATCAATATGACAACCAAAGTTAATCAGAGATCCAATGTGCCCATGTGTTTGGTGGGCACACACACGTTAGTGCTCCAAGTGTGTTTTCAAGTACTCTGCTGATGGCTTCAGTCAGGGGTAAATATAGTTTGCAGCGTAAGCAGTGGCATCTTGAGTTAAAATACTGGGCATCCGGAACATTTTCACTTTATCTTACAGCCTTATTTCAAATTGTTTTAAATTAATTTCGCTCCTCAAAATTGTTTTGCACAGATACCCTAAATGTTGTTGTGGAAAATGTATTTTGATGTTTGCAACTTTATTTAAAAAAAAAAAGAAAATCATGGAATTGTAACATTCACAGCCTTCGCCAAGAAGCTCAAAATTGAGACGTTGCTAATCATCCTTGAGAAATTTCTATAGCTTAAATGTCGTCCACTTGTGGTAAATTCAGTTGCTTGGACTTCGCTTGGAAAAGCACACGCCTCACTATATGAGCTCCCACGGTTGACAGCACTGTCAGACACCAAGCATGAAGTCAAAGGATTGATGGTCTGTAGACCTTTCAGACAGGACTGTTCTGAGTCACAGGGTGAGAATCCAGAGCTCAGTGGTCTACATCGTTGGTCAATGGAAGAAGTTAGAAATCAGCAAGACTCTTCCCAGAGGTGACTGGCCATCAGAACTGAGTGACTGGCAGGGAAGAGCCTTAGGGAGGTGACCAAGAACCATCTCTATAGTTGAGAACGGTGGTGGCAGCATCATGCTACTGGGATGATTTGCAGCGGCAGAAAGATGAATGCAGACATCCTGGATGAAAACCAGCTCCAGATCACTCTGTACCTCAGACTTGTAGCATTTACGCAGATGAAAAGCAACAGATGAATACATTTTCTACACAATACTAAATGCTACTGGTCGTGCACACCAATGGATTTATTTACTTATTCCCAGTTCATTGTAATGAACAAACATCTAGAAATGTTTCAATGTTTCTGTAGACAGCAGAAATGGGCAGTTGCAAAAAGAAAGCAAATAAAACTATCATTAAGAAATACAGATACAGAGACACCAATATTTTTTCTCTTAAAAGCAGAGCGCTGGTTAGAAACAGAGGGATGCTGGCAGCTTCTGAAACTCCCTTAAGTGAAACACAACTGTGCAGGATATGGATTCGGTTGTACACTATATCCTCTATGTCCAATTATATCATTATATTCAGTTAATTAAAATACGCATTTCCACGAGGCTCATTTGTCAGATTAAAAGTAAAATGATAACCATTAAGCAGGTACTAACGATAAACCCACGTTTCTATGTTCTCATTTTACATGAGTCTTCATTGGTTGTAAAAAGAATAGCCTGGCAATACACAGGAAAAAAAGCTACGACATTATCAGCCTGAGGGTGATTAATCTATGTAATCCATTTCACGTAGTGAATTACTGAAACAATATTCTAATCCACTGATAATGACTGTCCATATATGT